AGGCGCTTCCCCCGCCGCCCCCGCGGGACGCACCGGGCCCCGAGGCGCCGTCATCGCCGCAGCTTTCCAGTGTCTCCGCCCGCCCTTCCCAGAGAGCCGCCTCCTCCCTGCTGGAGAGGGGAAGAGGCGCGCGGGGTTCGTCCTACCCCTCCGCGGAAGGGAAAGATGGCAGCGGAGGAGGCCGCGGAGGCCGCGCGAGCCCGGCTGCAGGGGGAGCCGGACGAGGAGGAGGAAGAGGGCGCCGCGGAGGGCGCCGAGGCGGCAGCGCTCAGTAAGGGCCGCGATCGCTGGCGCAGAGCGAGCGGGAGCCGTTGGGGTTCGGGGTTCCGTTGGGGCTCGGGGGGGGGCACGCGGGAGCCGTTGGGCCGTGCGGCAGCTCCCTGACAGGGGCAGGCGCCACCTTTCTGCCCCCGGCGGGGCTCTGCGAGGCCGCGCTCGGCCCGTTCTTCGCCGCGGGGTGCAGCCCCCTGCGCAGAACTCGCGCCGCGCTTTATTCCGTGCATTTTTAATTCCTCTGCCGCCTGAAGGAGGGTGCTGCAACGCGGGCTCTTTTGTTCGCGCGGGCGGAGGTGGTGGCACTTCTGCGGTCTCGTCCCCGCGCGATCCGCAGCGCTTTCTGCCTGTATTTAGAAGGGGAACGCTCCGGTACCTGTGCCGCAGAGCCGCCCGTGGCGCCGCTGCCGGTCCTTGCAGTTGCTTTCGTACAGCTCGAATGAGCTTAACAGTTTTGACTGAAATAAGCAGTGTGGTTTGGGCTCTCGGACCTTAGTTTATTACATTTGCACAAAATTGATGATTCCTGATAGGAATCGTGCAACCCTGCTTCAGTAACAAATGATACTGTGCTTGGCTGGGCCTGCCTTGAGCTTTTGTTGTGAGCTTTGGTGTGAGCTTTTAGCCTGCTTTAAGCAGTGTTTTTGTGTCTGTGCATATGTATATACGTATACGTGTAAAATATGTATGACCACATATAAATTCCCACAATTTTATATATAGAAGCAATATATATATGTGTGCATGTGTCTCCCCACATACACACACATCCTCCTTTTCTAACTATTCCAAATTGTGTATTTATTATTAGGGCTCTGACAGCCACTTTGGTTTCAGGTCACTGTTATGATCTCACTATGCATTTTTCTAAAAAGAAGTATGTTGCCAGTTTTCACACAGCACACCTAATCCTATGCACCCTCTTCTTACAGATTTTTTACAAAACAAACAAAAAACCCTAATGTTTTTGACATTCTTTGTTTCCTTTCCTCTTTTTATGAATAAATAAGGAAAGAACTTTTCACCAGACATCTTGAAGGTATTAATTGAGAAACAGGCAAGAAATAGAAGTGTCTCAGGTGAATTTTCAGGTAAAAATAGGTCCATGAGAAATATATCACTTTTATGAATAGCATGCTGGTCTTGAGTTAGAATAATTTCCATTCTTCAAAATCCCAAACCCCGGAGAATCTAAGAACTGCTGTAAGATCCATTCAGCCCTTATCCTGTCTGTCTTCGGTTGTGGCCAAAAGTAAATAGGTGGGGAAGATCATGAAGACATACATCCCCAGAAATACCTTTATAGCTCATGGGGTTTTTTTTGAGCCAAAGAAATTAAATACTATTTTTGTATTTAAAAGCTCTTAGTGGATTTCTCTTTTCCATAGAACTGTTGTTTTAGCCTCTATAGTCTACCAGCGCCTCTAGCAGCCTGTGACAGGGGATTCTGTACCTTAACAGCAGGGAGTGTTGGCAGTTTTGTTCTGTTTTGAATTTCTAGCTAATACATTCATGTGATATGTCCTGTTTTTGTTTTTTATTTATTTATTTATTTTTAAGTGAAATAGAAATGGAACCGTTAACTTTGATGCATTCTGATGCATTCTGTGCATTAAGGACTGGGGGATGAGGAATAATTTTGTTCATGATGCAGAATGACCATGGGTTTCTGCATTGTTTCTTAAGATTGCTTAAGAAACGCTGTTTGTGGGGAGAGGGACAGACCCCTACTGAGGATATTTCTGTTGCTTCCATAAAACTGTGTTTTAAAACCTCAAGATCTTATTCCTGACTGATGATACTCAGCTCAGAGCCCACCCACTTATAGCTGAAATAATCTTATTGCCCATTCACTCAGCTTCTGAAGATGTTTTTGAAATTCTTCATTAAGCCCATAAATACTTAAGTCATTAGCAAGCGCTATCCCCCTCTTCGCTTGTCTTTCCTTCCAGGTTGTTCAGACTATTCGTAACTAGTTCTGAACTTCTGTTTTTTGTTAGGCACTAGTATATTGTTAAATGTATTTGGGCTTCTTGTCTGCTTTCTGTCATTGCTGCTACATTTTGCCTGTGAATAACAAGTAAATATTATTCTGTTAATGCTAACACATCTGATAATACAGATGGATGAATAGTTCTTTCTCTCTAGGATAGCACTGCTTCACAGTGGTTTTCAAGGATGAGTAATATTTGGTATGAAATTGTTCTTTGACATATTGATGAAACATTTTTTTTCCTTCAAATTGTTGTAGCCCATTTTACTTGTTAAATCACCAAATTATTGGAAACAAATGAACATACTTGTATAATGTATTTACTAATCAACATAATTCTTACATAATTTTTTAAGATGGTGTAGTTGTCTCTGAAAAAGTGGAAAGCAACAAACTGGACGTGGAAGTTACCGAGTCAGAAGCTGAAACCAAGAGAAAAGGAGCAGAGCAGGAATCCATAAGAGAATCCGATAGTAACATTTTGGATGTATCATCTGATTCTCCAAGAGGTTTGCTAATAAACCATAAGAGTCTTTCTGTTGTTGTATGTAGAAAATATTTTCTTTAGATGTTAGAAACATGTCTTTTAAATGAGATGCTATTTTCCCTTTGCTAGCATCCTAGAAATCACTTTGGAACCTCCCCAAAATACAAGTGACAGTAAAGAATTTATGTTGGATGAGGTGTGATATGTATGAAATGCTAATGTTGAAAAGTACTGCTCCTGTGAACCTTCTGAGGTAGAAGAGTGTGTCTGGACAGAAAAAGTCTATTGCAATGAGTGCAAACATTGGGAGAGAAGAATTCTCTTTAACACTAGTTTTAAAATTTCTGTATCTTGAACACATAGGTCGACTGATGTCTTAGTTTCATGTAAGAAAATATGATGACTACTGTTAAAAATATTTAAAATCCTTACAGAAGCAGTATTGCTATTAATTGGGATATTCTGTGTATCAGACTCAGTAACAGATTTGCTGGATAAGTTCTCTTGTTTTCTAGAAAATTCTACACTATTCTCACAGACTGGGTTGAAAATTTGGAAGGGAATTTTGAGGATATTAAACACTTAGGCAAGAAAAAAAAATAGAAGAACAGGATGTGTCCTGGCTATACGTTGAATAATTGCTCCAGTTCTAGCTGCTATTTTAGTTTTGCTGAAGAGTTCATGGAATGCTGTTATACTGTTTTATTCATGTTTGCATTAAATAAGAATGCCAGGCAGTAAAATGAAGAGTAAATAGTATGCAACTTCCTCTTTCCAGTTTATTTTTTCAAGTGAAAAGTTTTCCAATCTGAAAAACTGAACGTATATCAGAATTAAAAAGGAAGTAGAAATATTGGAATCTCTTAAGGAACCAATTGGGGATTAATTTTGCAAGTCATTCCATCTACCACATTTATGTTGGAAGTTAAACAATACAAACTGGTATGAATCTTAGATTTAAAATGATTGATAGAAAAATAGCAGTAAACTAAAATATATATATTTTTTTGAACTAAGTATGTTTAACTTCTAAATATCTCTGATTTTTAGAGAAACATATTTCAATTCAAAGACAACTTGCCGATCTAGAGAAACTAGCTGATCTGAATGAAGGTGAGTTTATCTTGGGAGTATCCCAGAACACAGCTCTTCATGTTACAGGTATTTATATTCTTTCTTGTTCATTATTTTCAAAATACTACATTTTTTTTTCTTTATTTTTTTGGTGATAACTAGGGGTTTCATAAAGAATAATTTTATCATTTTGTTCCATTATTTATCAGATGTACTTCAGGGATTCCTCGTTTGTTTGTTTGTTTGTTTTTGTTTTTGTTTGTTTTTTCTCTTTCCAAAAATGTATGGAAAAGCATTATAGCATTTCTGATGTGCAATGTGCATGAATGGGGGAATGTTGATTCTAGCTATATGTCAACAGTTTAATCTCAGTTTATTTTACTTCTATGTCATGGTAATAGGGAAGCTAATCGTTTTTGTTGTCTTTATTGGGAATAACATACATTTTTTTTCTAACCTCGGTTTAAACAAAAATATCCTCTGTTCTGATTGTTTTCCTTTTTCACAGTTTATGACACGGTTATATAGTGGAGGATCATGCAAAATGTTTTCTTTACAACCGTTAATTTTTCTCTGATATGTATGTATTTAGTGTTGATAAAATCACATAGTTTAACTGACCTTGTGACTGTAACTAGCTTTTATTCATGGATAAAGAAATATGTAAGAACCAGGATGCCCAAGCGCTGTGTCACACAGATGTTGTGCCTTAATCACCTGGAGTGGCCACTGCTGAGAATAAAAGTTTACCTCTATCTCTGTTTAGTGTTATAAATAGCAAGTACATCAAGAATAAAACTTACACAGAGGGTTGTATGTTCCATGCTAAATGATGAGATGAGAGAGGGAGAGATCTGAAAATATAGTACTGGTTTTATTGTATTGCGAGTTGCCTGTGTTATGTGTGTTGTTTCAGTATTCATCCCGTATGATTCAAACACGTGCAAGTCTTTCCACTCAGTTATACCCAAGAGATTGTTTGGCATCCAGCACTATAAGACCCAGCAGCAGATGTGTTCCTGCTCTCATCTATAATTCCTGTGAGCAGCTGTACAACATATGTCTCCCAGTGGTTAGATTTTATTTAGGATAATAATTAATATGCTTCAGATACCTTTGAGGCAAAAAAATCTTGACTTTTTTTTTATGGCTCAGATAGGATTTCCCGAGAGGGAAAATTATTTTTTAGCAGATAGTTTTCCACCCCAAATTAAAAAGAGCCTAGGTGTTTGTTTTATCTAAAAGTCGTTTGGTGATTGAGGAGAAGGAGAAAGAAAAAGTCTATTTTTCTAACATCTTCATGTTTCTTGTTTTTTGAAAAGTTGTAATTCTCTATATTTTTTCTATAAAGTTCTGTTCTGCAGTACTCTTCAAAAGATGTATTTATATCACTCTAGTAAGACATTAAAAAACAATTCTAAGGGTTTTAGAAATACCCTTTGTGTATCTTGTGGAGTGGAAAGGACAGATAATCCGATTTATTTCAACCTTGTGGACATCTGCAATAAAATATGGCCTGGGGAATTCATCTTATTTTTTCTTTTCTTTGGATGCAGCCTTGTGCAATGTGCATTAGTTGATCCTGCTTGGGCAGGGAGGAGGGAGGTTGGTGCCTCCCTACCTCAGCTGTTCTGTGATTCTGCGATTCTCAAATACGCATTTAACTCTAGTTGATGACAAATACACATAACTGCATATATTTCTCTTACCATGCCTGCTTACTGCATCTTCTGTATTTCTCATATTTTTTGTTTGCTTGTTTTTTCAGCTGAAAAGAAGCCCTGTCCGTTGTGTCCTGAGGAGAAATTCAAAGCTTGTTATAATCATAAACTTCATCGCCACCTGCAGAATTTGCACTGGAAAATTTCTGTTGAATTTGAAGGTAAAGGCACTCATATTTGAATAGTAAGTACAATATGAAATCGTGGAATGTAGGGCAATATTCTGTGTTTTTGTCTTTAAAATTCTTGTTGATATAAGTGTGTTTCCTGCATCTTGATCCCAACTCTGAACTAGAACCATATTTTGGCAAAATGAATTTTGGCCTGGGATATAAAGTATAAATGTAGAGTAAGTATGTATTTTTCTGAATGCCAAAATAGTTCCATTTTTTTTCTGTTCCAGCATTTCTTCATTTAAAAAGAAAAAAAAAGTTTATTGGCATATCATGAAAATGGATTATGAAATAAGAAATATTTATATGATGAAAGTTAATAAAGTTCTGATTCTGTTATTCACAGTTTTTGTTTCTTTTTTTTTTTTTTCCTGGAGACAGCATCCATTATTTAATATCAGTATTTAGTGGCCTTGTCTTTTATGTAACCTAACAATAGAATTGGCTTGTAAGATATATGCATATATATAAAGTCTGAGCACTTAAATAAGGAAGAGGAATGAGCAGCACTTTTTTTTTTTTTTTAGTAAAAAAGTGTGTATAGATTTATAGGAAATAAAATGATGAACTGGATGATGGGAAATATTAAAATTTAAAAATCATCTGCTGGAATTTTGGTTTTGCATGTATTACCATGAGGTTCTCCCCCTGCTCTGCCACTTAAAAATACGGGGAAGAAACACAGGAGTCTTCACACAAGTCAGGTATAAGTCCTTCAGTAAAGTTTTCGTAAGTTCTTACAACCTACGTTCAAAAGTCATATAGTGTATAGGACCTTGGGGCTTGCTAGAGATGTGCAGCCTGTAGGAAGGTAGTACACTTACTGAAATGTGATATGGGCTCCTGAAACCTTTTAAGACTTTTAAGTCTGTCTTATTTTCTCCAATACCTGGATTAACAGGTATTACGTAAATGTTTGAAGTACTAGCTACTGTCCAGTACACCTCATTTTAGTGCTGAATTGCCTGCACGTGTTTTTTGAGCTGTTTGAAAATTCCTAATCTAAATTTAAATGAGAAAATTTCTCTGTGCAAAAAAGATGAATGTATCGGAACATTAGTAAAGTTTCCTGTGTTGTGGCAATAATTGAAAGCCCTTTTGAGACCTTGCTATAAAGGCAACTAAAGAAAATTGTAAATCAAAGAGTTTGTGGTTCAAGACATACGTGTGCTGTTTGATTTACTGCGATGGGACAACAGCTGGTTTGTTTTCCAGGGTACAGAATGTGCATCTGTCACTTACCTTGTCGTCTGGTAAAGCCAAATGTCGTTGGAGACCAGGTAAAAAATACTGAATCACAGAAATATTTGTTACCCCACAACATTGGGGGAACTGGTACTTCAGTCTCAAAATATGTCTTCTCATCCAATGTGGCATACCAAAAGCTTGTTGGTCCAAATACGAGTTTTTAATGTAATCCTTTGATGGGTAGTTGCATGTAGTTGTATATCTGTATATCTTGTGGCTGTCTGCTTAGATTGTGTAAATCAGGCTCAGTTTGAAGGAACCAGCAATGCTGTGTGGAAGAGATCAAGAGAGGTGAGGAAATGGATGGTTCTCGGTTCATTTCCTGCATGCTGAGTATGTGGAGCATGAGCAGACAGCTGCATCAGTAGTAGTGACAGAGGATTAGTGGCAAGATAGCTGTGCTCTGCTGTGTGAATGTTTACAGTTTCTGTGGCAGTAGATTCAGAAATTTTTTTGTATGCACATATAACTGCTTAAAATCTGCCTATGTTCAGATATAATTCTACTTTAATATAGTCTAAAACTACACTTATTGTATTTTACAGACATTTTCAAAGATGGGAGCGCACTACCATTGCATTATCTGTTCAGCAACTATCACACGAAGAACTGACATGATAGGGCATATTAATCGTCATGTGAATAAAGGAGAAACTGAATCAAGATTTATCACAGGTAGGTTCTATAAAACATTGAATTTTCATTCTAATAGTGCATGGAATGACTGCGATATATGGGTGAGATAAACATGAGATGAATGTTTAAATTTACTACTGAGAAATTTACCCATAGCTTTTCAGATTTTTTTCTCAAATGTGTAAGACTTGTGATTTACTCTCTGCATTGACCAATTAGCCTGATAAATAATGTTGTTTTTTTTTTCACAGATAGCTTAATTTTAAAAATGTAACCTTCTGTCTTTCCAAAGGAATGGAAAGCATGGTGTCCATAAACCAAAAGCTTTATACAGAGCATTTCATGCCTCTGTATATTTGCGTTTGTCTGCCCTTAGATCAGTTTGGAGTACATCTCTATGAAGTATGTAAATACTCTACTCTTTATGCCAGCCCCATCAGTGCAGATTCATAAAACAAGATGGCTTTCTTCAGTCCTGGAGAATCATAAACATGACATTTGTTCTTTAGTAAATTATAATCCCTTTTCCCATTCTCAAGAATAATACTTTGTTTTAAAATGTGGATAAACTAGACTGGAAGGCCAAAAATAAAACATATTTTACTTTGCAAGTTGCTTAAACTTATTCATTTAAAATGTGCAAGTTTGCTGCTCTGCTTGTCTCCTTTACTCTCTCCATTCTCTGTCTATCAGCAGAATGCACATTACTGATCAGCTGGTATGCAAGAGTTGAGGTTTTTTGCTAGAAAATAATTTTTTTTGTCTCTGCCTCTATGAAAAAATGGTTTATGTTCTAGGTACAATATAGTAAAGATGGCACTGGAAGCCGTAGTAGCTTAATGGATCAGTTGCATGTCTAGGAAGCCATAGTAGTAAATGTTTTCATACCTTTTAAGTTGAATATTGGAGATAGAAAGTACAGTATGTGATATAAAGTATTTTAATCTGTGTAACTTCCCCACTAAGCTCTTAGTACAAGCTGGCTCATTTGTCACTTCTTATATAAAGCAGTTGCTTGGGGTTATATATCTTCCTAGAGAGGAAGGGAAATTCGCAGATCATTTATGTAATATTTAGGATCCACTTGAGCAAAACGTAGCCTGTAACCATGGAGCAAATGTTAGAACTGTGCGCTGAGCTAGAGATGCCCTGTCTGCATATTTGAAAGCACTGCAGGGTAAGCAGGCTGTGCAGGGAAGGGTGGATAGTTGAGGGCTAACAGAAATTTCCTGGCCATCTTGTGGAAATTGTTAGACTGGGTGCAAATTGCCTGGGGAATGACAGCATCTGTTCACAGCTGCCAAATCAAGGAAGGATGATTTGCTACAGAGTAGTTTATACAAAGCCTAAGTGCTTAAATTGTCACTGTGCTTGTGCTGTATACCCACATTTCCTGAAGCTGTTTGTTTTTTGAGGCATTTTTTTGCAGTTTATGTTCAGATAATGAACATAACCTGTGCTAATAGGTTTTTCATTATTTAGCAAAGCATTGTGTTTAGACATGCAAAACAAATGTTTGTCTGTATTTAGATTCTGTCATATGTTGTACATAACTGAGGAGCAGACCATTTCTTCAGTACCCTTCGTCTAGAAGAACAGTAGTTCATGTCGAGGACAGAAGACCAGGTTCCTTTTCCTCAGCTAGAAATGGCTTCTCAAATGCTGGCATGACCTGAGCCTCCCTGGGAATTTTTGTTTTATCAAAAGGTGTCTGGGTTAAGCCTCTGGTTCAGGTGCTTCTTTTTTTAAATTTGAATGGATAAGAGAGTCAACTAAGAAACAAATTTGATGCTTTATGGAAGAAAATAATGGTAAAACTTGATCCCATGCAGCACCTGTATGAAAAGAAGATAATTTGTTGTCTCTTTTTCACTTAATTGGTTAATTGGTTCATGTCTGCTGGTTGGATTACTGCATAACACCTGTGAAACCAGAGCTCTTGCTATATGGGAGCACATCTTCAGTTTCAATTATTTAATGTGCTGATGTTTATTTAAATTCTCCTTAGTTTCTTCTTTCTTCCCCTGCAATTACTTTCTTTTAGCCCCTGCTCCCAAGTCTTCTCATGAAGTGCTGAAAGAGTCGGATGCAGATGTGCAAGTGCATCCCAACTACTCCACACCTCAGAAAACCGATTCGTATTTCAATCCTAAAATGAAACTCAACAGGTGAGAGAACAGGGACTGGGAGGATGCACCAGAGGGATGGTGAGTTTGTAGTGAGAAACACTTGTGCTTTGAAAAATAGCCCCAGAAACCTCTTTTTCTTAGAGTCAGAAGATCAGTAGTCAAGTAAAAAAAACCAAGATCACTGTTATAAGAGAGTTCCATTTGAATGTGCTCTTGTTTTTCTGCTTAGATAATTTCTTTTGGAAAAGTTTCCCATCAGACAACTGTCTTCCTTAGGAATAATGTTTAAAACCAAGAACATTATGTGGGGAAATATTGTCGTCTGAAGCAATTAAGTAGTTTTATCTAACGAATAGTACACAAATAAGAACAAGATCTGAAAAGAGGAGCACATTTGAACACTTAACGTTGTGCACAGTTCAGATGTTTTTCTGTGAACCTCCACAAAGTGTTATAGCTGGGCACTGCATCCTCTCCTTCAGATGAACTGCAGCATTCATATACATGGTTGTCATCTCCTAAAACATTTTTATACAGGCCTTTTTCTCATGATGGGTCAGATTCTCTCAAGTTGCTTCTCATACTTACATGGAAATAGATGAAGGAAGAAACACTATCTCTTTTAGGAGAGTCATAAATTGTGTGTAAACCGCAAGTGCAAACATTGCCCCGAAGTATGGGCTGAGGTGCTTACCCTTCATGTCGTCAGGGCCTTTGCTGTCAGTACGTGAGCTCCCAGATTTATAGTTAGCTCAGGCAGGCCCACGAAAGCCAAGACCTGCCTGAGAAACACCCTTGCAGCCATTGCTATGGCTCTGCCTGTGAGAGCAAGGCCTGCTCCTTGAAACAGCAGAGTTCAGTTGCTCTCTCCCTTAGGAGATCCTTTTCTGCACAGAACCATAAATAGGATAATACCACATTGTGCTGGGAAAGGAAGAAAAGCACTCTTTATTTTAGAGTGCTAATCACTTTTTCCAGTATTTGATTAACTAGTTAGTTGATTCAGGATCTTACGTTTTCAAATATTCTACTCTGACTGTGATGGTGTTTGAAACAGCATCATATCAAAAGTAAACCTAACTGTTGGAATTCAAGGGTGGTTGGGGGTTTTGATTTACAATTATTATATTTAATGGATTTTAGCTAAACATTGTAATAATATCTTCAAGAGAAATAAAATATCTTCAAGAGAAACAAGAAAGGGGTGGAAAAAAAAGAGAAAAAAAAATACGCTCTTTTATTTATAATCCTATCTTTTATTTTCTAGGCAATTGATATTCTGTGCACTGGCTGTTCTGTGTGAGGAAAGGAAACCAATTGAATGTTTGGATGCATTTGGTGCCACTGGTAAATTGAAATTCTTTATTCTGTAGCTAGTATTCAATAGTATGAGATTGCAAAAATCAGTACCAACTAGCAGACACAGCATATTCAAAAAAAAATAAGGTGAGGTACCACATGATTTTCTTTCTTAGATAGGCAGTCAAAAAAAACCCAGCCTTTAAGAGCTTGGAATTTGGCCACTTACTTGAAAAGACCATAAATAAAAACTACAAAAATCAAAGTTTAATGGTCACCTTAGATACTCTTCACATTATTGCATGTGAAAAGCCATGGGTCTGGATCTTCCTAAACTTGCAGCAAGTTCCCAGATCACTTGTGACTTCATGGATGTGAAATGTGGCTGTATGAGTTATAAAACGCTGATGAATCCAAGCTTTCTTTCACAGGAGCATCTCTAATCAGTTACATGAAGTTCATGTTCAGAATTTTTGTAAAGTGCTTCTGTGTGTGCCCATTAACTGTCTGGAGAGAAAAAAAAAAGTCTGAAGAGATGGGAACTGTTGGCTTTTTTAGCACCATCTAAACCTGAGATCATAGTTGAGATACTGAGAGTAGTCTCTCTTCAGTAGAGGCTGCCTGAAAAATCTTCACAGTATTTATTTTTATGTTTGAGGTTTTACTATAGTCTGTCACAGGAGTTTGTCCACTACACTGCAGTGTTAAAGCAAGTCAAGAGTTATTTTTGTTTGCTTGTTTGTTTTTTTTCCCTCAACAAAGTGAGCAGACCAGAAACCAAGCCATATTCTATCATGGGATTACAATTCTGACCGTCATCTTCCTTGTAGGTATAATGGGATTACAATGGGCAAAGCATCTCAGAAGTTCTGTGAAAGTTACTATTAATGATTGTAATGAAAATTCTGTGATGATGATTCGGGAAAATTGCCATTTAAACAAGATGAAAGTGATACCGAAAACTAAGGAGGACGACACTGATGAGGCTATAGAAGATGGAGAAGAAAATATTGGCACCATTGAGGTGACAAAAATGGATGCTAATGTTATAATGCATTTAAGATCATTCGATTTTATGTAAGTGTTGAGCATTTCTGTTGAAATTGTTTTTGTTTGTTTGTTTATTTTGTTTGTTTTTTTGATGATGATTATGACTACCTCCCCTAATGACTAGGGAAGAGAGAATGAAAGAAGTAGCCAAAATTTACCTGCTTGTCCTAAATGTAATAGTATTGTGCCAGAAGAGGTCTGAAAAGGGAACATGGATGTTTTAGAAATAATCACTGGGAAGATATTTAGGCTTTCTGACATCCCAAAAGGAGTATAAATGCACGTGGAAAATGATAAGCCAAACTATTTTTTGTGCAATTCATTGAAGTTGTTTTTTTTAAAAAAAAAGAAAAGAAAAGAAAAAAAAAAGAAAAAAAGACTGTCAACTTTCTAATTATTTTTTCCTACAACTTTTAATTAGATTAAAATTCATACCTGTGCATGCATATGGTTGGGACTTCATGTTTATTCGATGATTTATTTTAAGCCATTTTGAAGCATATTCATTTACAGGTAAGGTAGCCTGCTACTTTAAAATTGGGTTTATAGATGTATATTTTCAAATCTTATACACACCTAGAAAGAAGTGACTGGATTTCTTTTATTGGCTAATGTCATGATTTGGGCAAATTAAGCAGCAGGGATGCAGACTGAAAATCACGCTGATCAGTACATCAACTGGAATTGGCATAAATTTGAAAATAGTTTTGTTCTTGCACATTTCTGTCTCCTTTGAGGATAAAGATAACCATCAGGGCAATGTTCTTTTAACAATGAATTGCATCAACATGCATTTTCCAATACGATGCTGCCTTGACACTTTTCAGCTTGGCACTGGGCATTTTATCCTTCAGTAATTTAAATCCTTTTTGTTTGTTTGTTTGTTTTAAATATTGGCATAGATAATGTTTTTTAAATAGTGGGGTCCTCAGATTAAAAACTCGGTTGCATCTCTAGATACAGTGTGGGACTTATTTTTTAGACACTTGGACCCCTTTGGAACTTCTGTGAATTACCTGGATGCTGCCTTTAGAAATGTAAGAAATCTCGGGATTGTGTCGTTGACCTCCACAGACATCAGTTCTCTGTATGCAAAGGCCCAGCACGTTGCCCTGCGTCATTATGGATGCAATATTGTCAGAACAGAGTACTACAAGGAGCTGGCAGCCAGAATAGTAATTGCTGCTGTGGCAAGGTACTGTCGTAGTGAATCAACTCAAATTCTGGTGGAAAATTACTAATGCAAAACTTAAACTGCTGCTGTAGCCTGCTGCTGTGCATGTTCAGTTTCCAGAATTCCTTAATTCTAAAAGCCAGACTTTTCCACACAATCTTCATGTGTCTTATTTTATGTTGCTTTAGGACAGTGTTAACTTTAAACTAAGCTAGGTAAAAATGCTTACTAAGATGTGTTGCGTTTTGTATTGGGATCAAATTTTGGGAGTAATATGCAAATTAATTTTGGAGAGTCATATACAAAGAAATATCCAGACTTGTATGTCTGAAAATATTTTATTCCTGTGTCACTTTATCGTCATTATGGTGCTGATGAACTTTGTAAAAGTTCCCCCCTGCTTGAGGGACTTGTAACTGGGCATTCATTTAGATTTGTTGTAATGGAAACTGCTCTTCACTTCAAATACTTAAGCTTGAGGTTTAAATGTAACTGGGCTAAGTAGTTTTACAGAAGGAGTTTTATAGTTTTTTAAAAAATTTAAGAGTTCAACGCAGTGCCTCCAATATCAAATTGTAAAATGAGTCAGTTGCATACAGATATCTTCAGTCAGTAACTGAAGACTGAAAAAGATACAGGTGAGAGGTTGAGACTGCTGGTTGGGAGAGAGCAGGGGAGAAAATTGAGTGTGCAGAGGTCCTGAGCTTACCAGTGTGAAAATACTGACCTGAAACGTTTAGATTTTTCTGGGCCATCTCCTTGCATATCTTAGGTTGTTTCTTGCAAAATATTGCCAAATATGGCTGTGCTATCTCTCTTAACATAACTTTCCTGTGAAATATATCATGACCTGCAATGTTACTGAATTTCTTTTTAGCTGTTTTAAGTGAAGTTTTAGTTGCCTTCTGGGTTGTGTGTTTCTGGAACCGCTCCTATATTCTCGTAGTCCTCAACAGCTGAAGATTTACCATCATCTCAAGAATCTTTCAGTAGGTTGAAGTGTCTATGGAAATGTTAGTCTGCTGAATTCAGTGGAAATGTCTTTTCTTTCTCTCTTTCATAGAGCTGCAGCTCGTTGTAACAAAGGTATTGAAGTTTTACTGGCAGTAGCTCTAGAACATTTTGTTCTAGTAGTAGTCAGAGTTTTGAGGGGACCATCTCCTGCAGACGATTCAGCAAAGAAAATCAAGTATCTCATCCATTGCCAGTGGTGTGAAGAGAGAGTTTTTCAGGGAGGGAGTAACATGGTAGAAGGTAAATTGATTTTTCCCTTGTACTTTCTAGAGAGTCTGATTTATATACATGTGTTCTTAGACTTTTTTAGACTGTGTTTCCATTTAATGCAATAGGAAGTGGTGCAGATATCTGTAATATAAGAAACTCTGTTTTAAGATAAAGGATTAGATTAGCTGTCCAAGTGGATTCCACCATAAATGGATGATCTGTTCAGGAGCTATTTCTGTATTCCCATTAGTAGTGGCTGTTGAAGCTGCCTAGATGCGTGATGCGCCCTTGGAGCCATCCTTTGCATAAAGGGCATCGAGAGCATCCTCCACTCAGTGGCAGCTTCCTAGACCTAGGTGTCAGATGGTTATTCTAGAGACCTTTCTCGTAGGTGTTTGTTGTGGAATATAGTTCTGTTTTGTGAACTCATGAAAGTGCTGCAGCACATGTTTTCTTAAATCAAATTTATAACTCATGCCGTGCTTGTGAGAACTGTTGAGCTCCCTTTTCCACTTGGTACTAATAATTTCAGGTTTTTGTAGTACTCACTTTTATACACCTGTGCTCTTCCATAATCTTCCTGACTTCTCTGTGCAAGTTAAACCTAATACATTCACTCCATTGGTAAAAGCTACTTAAAACAGTCCAGAAGAGTAAACAAGAACCATGAGAACTTAATTAGTAAATGAATTATTTACTTCCCGCCTTGCATGCTTGCAAGTGAACTGACTTGGGGCTTAGGAGATCTGCATCTGGGCTGTATTTTGTGTCTGTAACTGGGTGATGCTTTCTATATTTTCCTTTTTTTATTAGCATCTATTATATACTGGAGGTGTACATGCATAGTTATAGGAAGACTGCGAATCTCCCTGTTACTTTAAATCTGACAAGATACATAAAAAGTGATGTGGCTAGCTGTGCTTTTTTTGTTTAATGTCAATTTAACAATGATAGGAGACTTTAATCACTAAATTGTCATAAGCACTGCTTGACAGAATGAAGATGGGAGACACATTTTTGATGCCGCTTGCCCTTCTAAATACCTCAATTTAAAGTGAGCTACTATTTCACATCTATATTATCTTTTTTTTAACGAAGTAAGCATTACAAACTGTGTTTCAGAATAACTTCAATCCTGTTTTTCTGTTGCAGAAAACCCTTACCAGCAGCTGCCTTGTGACTGTCACGGCAGTATGCCTGGGAAGACAGCGGTAGTCCTCGGACCTCTCTGGTACGTGCACAGCACAACAGAGAACCACTGAGTGAGGCAGAGCAGAAGGGATAATAATAATTCAGATGATAAAATGTAAATATTCAGATAATAAAAATGTAAATCTGCTGAATATTTTAACTCTGCAAAGTGTAGCAACTGGGAGGAAATCCGGAAACTTTTAAGGAATACCTTCCTAAATTCATACTGCTGTTAGAAACAAAGCAATCATTTATCGTCACGTTACAGACACATCCAGCCTGATTAAACAGTTGTGTGCAGTGTAATCCGATTGCCAGTCCTCTTGTGTGAGAGATTATAAAGTAACTTTTAATTAAGAAGTACTGAGTTTTCACCATTCTTTTATATTGCATATAAGGTCAGGAGCTCTCTTTAACACTGGATTTCTCAGAAGGATGCTGCTTGAGTCTGTTCAGTATGGTTTAGAGGAAACTCAGCCCCTTCTGAAGACGTTAATTTGTGAAGCGGAGTGTACAACTTCAAAGCAGTTTTCTATCCACGTTTCTGCTGATGAGAACAAACAAGGTAGGACAATGGCAAGCTGTTCACAAAAAAAAAAAAAAAAAGAATAGCTTTGTAGTGATTTAGGAAGGTACTTGTCCCTACTAACTTAGTGCCAACAACAGCAGTGTGTACTTACAAAAGGCAAGAAAATCTTTGTTGCTTTGTATGCAGAATGTGTCAGACAGCCCTGGATGCTGTAAATACATTAGGGCCTGTGAGAGGCAGGCAGAGTGCTAGATTTAAATGTCTTTAATGAGCTCTTAAACTAAATAAAAAGAATGCAGACACGTGACTGCCATGAAAATCCTGCAGTCACCAAACTGGCTGGAAATAAAAATGTTTGTTAGTTTTGCGGTGCACCCTGGTCTTCACCTGAGAGCCCCTGCTGTTAGGAAGAGAGGACTACAGCTGTCAGGCTGTGTTTTTCCTAAGAAACTGTAAATCAGTGTTCCAAAAGGAATGGCTTTAGTAAAACGAAATAGAGCCTAAACTTACCTCCATCTAGGTAAAAAAATGAAGTAATATTTTGAGTATTTCCTGTAGATTAAAATTAGTGAGTTAGTAAGTGGAACTTACCGATGCCTCTCAGTACACTACTTTAGAGCTTTGTTTGTCACTTTACTGTGCTACAATAAACTTAATCGTGACTTCCGATTGCATTGTAGAAGAGTGTGGAGTATATATCAAAACACCAGATACGCAACTTGGTACAGCAGAATCCTACCTGGTACAGAGTAAGTAGGTTGCTTTTGGTGCAACTTCGGCACATTCATGTTTAACTATTGCATAGTTCACTTTTTTTTTATACCCTTCCATGCACATATACACATATTTAATAACACTTGTACTCGAGAGTTATTTTCCCATTGAGCTTTCACTGAGAGTTTTCACTGCATCTTCATTCCGGGGTCATGGTGCCTGTGAAAGGCAACAAACCAGTACTTCATGAAGCATACTTGGCTTCAGTTGTACTGTAAGTGGTTGGTTAATTACTTTCAGGCTAGATTTTAAGTCTGCAAAATTTACCTTATGAAAGCAGATTGAAAGGTGTAGTTGCTGCATGCCTTGTTGTTGTGTATTCTAAGCTTACTGGTTTCATTGCTATTCTTTGTGGTCCAGGAAAAAGAAAAAGTAATGAAGCTATTCGAAATGCAACAAAACGACCAAAATTTGAGAACAGTGCTGAGCACCCTGCGTTTTACTACAATATCCATAGACACAGTATTAAAGGAATGAACATGCCAAAGTAAGGTGTTTATTTATTATAATCCCTCTCTTAACACTATTGTAATGAACATGCCAAAGTAAGGTGTTTATTATAATCCCTCTCTTAACACTACTGTGATGATTCCTCTGTAACTTGCCTTGAATCAGGCTTAGCAGCAGTAACACTTTTTTAAATGGCTTTTGCAGGTTAAATAAGTTCTTAAGCTATCTGTCTGAGGCTGGATACAGAGTAAGTAGAACCCATTTTGATCCGATGGGAGTTCGCACTAACGCGCCCTTGGCACAATTTAAGACTATCCTCGTGAAGTACAGCAGTCCCACGTACACTGGGGGACAGGGAGAAGGCACGGTTCATCTCACTGAAGATCTCCAGGTAGGAGACCATGTTCAAGCTGCTGTAGATGACAAAGCAGGAGATGGTGAGATTCTGGAGGATGATAAATCTGGAGTTACTGCCAGGATCACAGAAGACTGCTCTACTCCTTGTGCAGCTGAGTAATGAAAGACACTGTCTTGAAATCAGGATTTTGAAGACTTAAAACTATACCTGTTGAAGTAAGCCAGTACTTCTTACAGAACTGAGTTTGGAAAATCTGATTTGCCTGCTATTTTATTTGTGAAGATGTTTTAGAATTGCATAGCAGAGCTTGCCACTGATCACAGTGCATGTGGTTGAAGTACCTTTACTGTGGGGAAGTCTCAGTGCAGTTATTGCTTTTATGCTTACACCCATTTTTACACTGTGGCAGTGTGACTACCCTCACATCTTTGAAAAGCTGTATTCAGATTGCTAGCACCTAATCCAGAATCGTGAGCAGGGCCAAAATGCTTAAGTATTTCCAAACAAAAGCTTGATATAAAAATGGACCTTAATGCCTAAACTTTGACTGATTAGAACTTGACTGGTTAGAGAGTTCATGTTAAGGTGATAAAATGCCACAAGAAAAAACGTGGCCTGAAGGTAAGCAAGCTAGAAAGTGCTGGTCGGGTGCACTCACAGTCCAGATAGTGCATTTAATTTGGTAATCCATTCTGGTTTTATAGTTCTGCCTCGGTGCAAAGGCCTAACACAAGTGCGAAGCGAAAGTTGCAAAACTGTTCCTTAAACTTCAGTTCTTCACCAAGCTGTAGTGAAGTATGTTTAGGCAGGCTAGGTAGCTGTTAGTTCAGAGATGAAACCTGGTTGTTGCTGGCAAAAAGGCACAGTGATGAGACACCTCAAGCTTAAGTTCTAGGTGAAATTTTGCAATTAGTTTGACAGTAATATATATATATTTTTAAAAAACAATCTCTTCTGTGAATGAGCAAAGATACTGTGTGTTGGTAGTCACTTTTGGGTTCCTTAAATACATGGCAGTATTCCAGCCAAATAAGCTAGACTTTGTCCTTTTTTCTCCCTCTCAAACCTTTGTTTGGACATCTATATATTTCATTTGAAGTGGAAACTATTACAAATGGAACTAAAGGAACAGGTGTGGGTTTTCACAGGTTTGGTATTCACAGATTGGTGAATTGACATTCACCTGTCACAGGACTGTTACTTTTCTTAGAAGAATTTGAGGTGTTCTTATCATCTCTGAAGCTTTACAACAAGAATATCACTGCTTTTCTCTTAACTCAAAACTGAGTCCCAAACAGAAGTAGTGTGGCAACTTGCAGTGGTCTGACTTAAAGTGATAGAAAATAGCGAAACTTTCATAATACAATCCCATTTGTGCAGAACTTCTTCATAAATTCCTATCAGGCCAAAATTAAGCTACTGCATTTTATACCATCTTAAATTCATGACTGCTTTTGTAATGAGTTATTTTCATTTGTCCTCAGGGGAGAGAAAAAAAAAAAAAAAGACCGCTAAAGAAGTAATAGCTCCATTAGTGATACAGTAACAAACTAAACTAAATTTCTGTCAAAAATGTACAGAAAACATGACCCTCATGGGGGGCGAGGGGGAATATTCCCCCATTGTTCTGAATTAAGTAAATATTCTTTAAGTGTAGAGGGCAATTAGAAGAATTTACTTCTAGCTAAGAAAGCTGTTCCCTTGAGCAACATTAACATAAATAGGATAGTCATAAAACCAGTTAACTGGAGCAAAAGGGATAGCTATAATTACGATAAAGTAAGTTGAAAATCAAGCTTAACTGAACTCATTTTGGGGAGGTATTTGTGATTGTGTTAACAGTTCCTCCGAAATAACAGAAGCAAGTGTGCATCTTCTCCAAGTCAAAGCAAGAACTATTGCTCAGTATCCTTAAGTGTACATAAGGAGCTGCAGAGAAAGGCTCCAGGCTTGTCCCTCAGGTCAGGCTTTTCTGCATTCCCTGATTTTTTTTCTTTGTTGAATATGCAGAAGAGGCTCTAAACTGGGCCAAGGTTTGTCCCCTGTCCTCACTGACAAGAAAGAGAGGAGTTGGGGCCGAGACAGCTTGGAATCCTCTTTCTGTGGAGTAGTGGGAGCCCTGCCACCACGTCAGTCCTGCAGCAGTCAGCTAACAGAACACCAACGTTCACTGAAGGCTCTCACGGGGCAGCTTCTCCTTTGTATTTTTTGATTCTGTCAGAAAATAGTTGTCCTGTTGTATGGTGCCGAGAAAGCTTTTAGGGAACTTTACCTCTGCTAGAGTACATCTCAAGCACGTCACCTTTAGCACAGCACTGCACAACTTCCTAGTCACCACAGCATGACTCAAAGCTGCCCTGATACACTTGGAAATTGAGTTGCCCTGAAATCCATATTGCCATTGCAGGAGTACCTAAATCATGATGGCAATATAGGTGTTGATTTCTGCATTTCTGCTTATTCTTGAACCTTGAATGCAAGTAGAAAATCTCTTTTTTTGATAATTGCTCTAAAGGTTCTTCAATCATGCTGAAAAAATATTTTTTAATTAGAATTTTAGGAATAGATGTAAAATGTAAACTGATAGGTTTTTTTAAAACCATTAGGCACCCAAATTCTGAGTGGTTCTCTGAAAGATCCAAACAAATAAAAATTCTGTTGTCTTTACATTTCTGAAGGTCTTCAAAAAGCTTCCTTGTAGGATCTACTAATCAAAGCCAGCTTCTAGCTCCAGTGGAAAACAGTTGATATCAGAACGTAATTGGGGAAAAATATAGAGGTCAATTTTTAGCTGATTTAAAAAAAAAAGAAAAAGAAATCTTATTCAAAATTAATTCCAGAGTGCTAAACAAAGTTAAGTATTTCATCTGTTTCAGTTCAACAAGCTGTAGTGGTTTTGAAAGCCTGGTGCAAATGCGTGGAGAGTGGAGGAGAGCTATGTGGAGCAGAACGGGAAGGTCCACTCAGCTGGATACTAAAATACCTGCTGCCATTTAGTTCTATACATTAAAACCTTTTTGTGTGTGTTTGGCATATATAGTCTAGCGTATATTCAACGGTGTCATCCTTACGGAATTTCTTCTTTACCCTCTTGCCAGGTGTTTGAGAAATTCCACTGAATATGCCATGATAGAACAGAAAGTTAAAAGTTCTGCATCTCTGAGCTAAAACTGCCTCTTAAATGAAGATTTATGTAGAGAAGGATGTACAGAAATACAGTAGAGTTTTTTTGGTTTTTGTTTTTTTTCCCTCTTAGGAGATCAGAATGGATTACTTACCAGACCCTTAAGGTACTGATTTCAGAGATACATTATCAGCTGATCAGCATTCTGGAAAATGAGCAGCTGAGGATGATGGTAAATAAAGTTTCAGCAATTATTTAGTTACTGGTGTAGCTAATGAATGGTTATGAAGGGCACTTCTGATGCTTACACCCACCTGCCCCCTGAAAGCTATGGCAGAGGTGTCCCTTTCTGAGGTGCTATGTTGGGTGCTGGCACAGGAGGGAAGCAGGATGCGAGGAGAATTTTGGTTTAAGAGTGGACTGCACTGCCCCAAAGTGAGAACCACCCATAGTGGAGTAATAATCCCAAGTTAAGTCAGAGAAAGCAGTGGTTAGGAGAGCAAAAGGAAGTTTGCATAGAACTAAAATACAGCTGCTTGTAATAAGCCTGTGAATATTCAATATCACGGTTCACGTTGTATCATTTGTGACTAGTGCTGTATTACTGCTCCTCGCTCTTCTGAAATAAGAAACTTTATTTTGAAAATGGTTACCTTTGGGTCAAATCAGTCTGTCTAGCCTGCTACTGCCAGGTTTTTGATGTTTTTTTTTTTTTTTTTTTTTTTTTTTCTTCATGACTGAAAAACTCCTTGAGAACTGAAGTGTGATGCTTGTGTTAACTCTTAAGGATAATGCAAGCTTCACAGTGTGCTCACAGGCTTATATCTGCTTGGACCTCTGAGTCCCAAGCAACTTAAATTATTCCTTTAAGGCACTGGTTTTAAATCCTCCTAGTAGATAAGTTATTCCAACCTACCTTAAAAACCAAACTTACAAGATTGTGATTCCCTAAAGCAGAAACAACACTGTTCCCAAGGGGAAGGGATTTACATCAGCTACAGGAATAAATATTTAAGCAAGATTAAGCCACAAGAAATAATGCAAAACCTCAGCTGAAGAAGCCTTTCCACAAGCATGACAAATCTTCATCTCCACCTAAGCAGGACTAAGCAGGGGATTCCACAGCCAAAACTGGGCTTGCTTTAAGTTTTTATCCCCAAATCCGTGCTCACAAGCACTGGAAGAGCACACGGTTGTGGAGGGGAGGCCTCGTAAATGCATTCTGAAACACCATCTCCCAGGAGGGGTTTTGCTTTTTCCTCCGTGACAAACTCGAGGGTGACATGACTGTGGGAGCGAGCGTAACGGCAGCTCGTGGTGGGGTTGCAGGAGTGGAGAAAGGCAGCAGCAGCGCAGGAGCGGGGCCTGCAGGAGAAGAGCTGGGTGTGAACAGCCCGGTTCTGCAGTCACTCGAGCCAGGTTAGTGCTTCACCGCTGTCAGAGCAGGGGTGAGCCCTTCTCTTCTCTGTGTTCCCCAAGCCAGGGTTTAGGTGACTCCAGGCTTTCTAACACGGTCTCGGAGCAGACAGGGATTCATTTTGACTGAAATTGTGGGCAACTTTTACAGGAATTAAAGCAGTTGGAAAAACAGTCTGAATACAGTCACGAGGCCTGAACACAGCCAGAAAAGGACCTTTCCCTTCTTTCCACAGCTAGAGGGAGGTTACACAGTATGTAACAAGAAACCACTCTTCTAGCGGGCATAAGCATCCTACCTTTAATCCTTTTAGTCTATGACAAATGTGGCATTTTAGTTTTATTATTTAATTACTGTTACAATTGGAGAAGGAAGTAAAAATGAACAGAACATTTCAGAAATGAACAGGATCCGAGTCTGACTAATTTGCTATAGTTACACCTCACATTTTTGAGCCTTCTGTTTGTTGAAGTTGCTCAATAACGCAACTAAACACATTGGAAGTTGCCGTTTTTAACCTACATGGAGTGCTGTGAAAAATCCTTCACTGCCTTTCTCAGATTCCAGGATCAAACGCAGAGCAGCAGCTCCCGTGCCCGGGCACGGCCGTCCCTGGAAGAGCCGTTGGGGCTCTTCCCCAAAGGGCTGTCGGGGCCACTCGCCTCCCCTCTAGGGAGGCCACAGACAAGGGAGGTGGCCCCCAACACTCAACCTGTACAGAAACCTCTGAATGGTTTCCTTGATGAATTGGAGAGAACACACAACTAGGGTTTCCAGTAGTTTGTTGGTAACATTTTTATTTTTATTGTCCATGAAAAGCTGTGTGGCTTCAGTTGGATACAGCTATTAGACTTACCCGTACCTAACGCACACAGCATACTTTAAAAATAACATGGTTTAAAATGGATGAAATAGTAATTTTGAAAACAAAATAGTTTATAGCACTAAAGAGTCACAGTGCAATCAATGGTTTAATCCAACAACTACATTTATATATAATATTTAAAGAACATAAATATTCATTAAATTCACTACCACATGAAAATAAGAGCTTCACATTCTCCCACACTTTTTAAAGAACAGAGGACAAAGTGACAGACAGTTCCTAGACAGACTGCTCCGCTTCACAAATACCTCTCTTGCTTAAGGGATTGGACATTACCTTAGCTATCACCATGGGAATGTATGCTGCAACTAATCTAGACGTTTCCCCATAAATTTTAAAGCATTTATAATCACAACACCCTTTCCCACCCACTCCCAGATTATATTTAGTGAACATGCACTAATAGTCTATACAATGCAACATATCACCAGAAAGTAATGAATAAACTAATGAAAAACTGCTCCCCCTCCCCTTTGTGTTGTTGTCTTTCAGTTTCATGGCACAATTCCAAAAGCCAAGTGTTAAGAAGGTTTTCAAAGAAGCCTGTCTCATTTTTATATAGGGATAAAAATTGATGGGGGAACATCAGTCAAAATGGACAGGTATTTACAAGTGCTGGACTTGATGGACAGCGGTCATGGAAGGGAAGGCTCCTTCCCAAGAAAATTCCCAAGAGTCTGAATATTCGCATAGCACCTGTCGAAACCTTGGTCTAACTGCAGGGAAAACAGCGAAGGAGCAATACTCTGCGGTTGAAAGGTTCTTACTTCTCACCTATTACATCAAACTTTTTTTGCTCCTAGCTTCAGCTGCAAAGAGCCGCAGGTCATCAGTCATCAGCAGAGGGAATCTCCCGGTGCCTGTTTCCCTTAAGACAGAATGCTAATAGGTGGAGCAACCCCCATTCCGTGAAAGCAAGGTCCAGGGCGAGGGAAGAGGAGTTTAACATGCACACAAACAACAGCTACGGGACTGCACACAGTGGCCTACTGCCAAGTTTAAAAACTTCAACCAAATTTAAGACACTAAATGGTAAACGTTGTCAAGTACTAAAATTTTCTTCCAAAGTGCTAAACCACATTTGTTAAAGCTATGGCAAAAACAAAACAAAACAGAAAACTTAGAGCAGCTTGTGGTTGAAGTGCTCCCTACTCAACCTGAAGCCCAGTTAAGCTCTCAGTTAGGGTGGCACAAATTCTGTAAGTCAAAAGTATTTGCACATTTTAATACATCACTGTGTTGGAATTGACAGCATTTGCTTTAAAAAGTTTCCAAAACAGTGCTTCACAGAAAGTTCTGATACATTCACAATAAAAGTCTGCTATGACAGGGAACATAGGAGAACTGTAAACTATCAGAAGACTTTACTCAGTGCTTATGAGGACAGGATAACTCTGCAAGGGGGGGCCCAATCAGGAATTGCAGCGTACACTAAGATTGGGATATTTTACAGGGGGGCAGGTCCTTTTGGGGATGGGGAGTGCTTTAACTGAATTATTTCTTAAAAAAAAAAGCAAACAAACCATGAACCACTTTACACAGAAGTATTAAGCCCAGTAAGCAGCATGGTTTAAAGTGTCTGTTTTCTCACTATAGCCATATTTGTTCACAACAGAATGACTGAATAATAAATCCCTTTTTTTTTTCCTCGAGGGAGTCAGATTACCTCTATCTGCAAGACTATCAGAAATCAATTCTCTACCATCTTTTATATGGATAACCATTAGCAAATTACAACATTTAACACATTCCTTGGCATATGTTACTATTGAATAGACTTCATCAGCCATTCAATGCTCAGTACTTCACAGAGGCTACTATAATTGTGTCAAATGTATTAGAAATCCAGATTTACCTGGACTAAATTAAGACATTCCAAACTGGAACACTTGTTCAGTTATCATGCATTGGGAACAAAAGAGCATGGCAAGCAATGGAATGCACTGGAGATCATTGAGTCTCCTAGGGAAAAACAAAACTAAAACAAAGTCTAAATTAAATACAACCAGAATACTGTCTAATCATATTAACAGGTAAACTGAGAGAACCCGAAGACATCACACGTACTGTCCATGAAAATAATGGTGGTGCCTTCTCTGAATATTAAAGAAACCATAATTATAAAAAGAGTTAGTCCCCAGTCAGTGTTCCTGCACAGCTTATTTATGCTCCTTGGTTGGTGCATAGTACAGTTCCATGGGTTTATTCACTTTCCAGTACTTCTCACTGACCAGTTCCAAGGAAAATGAGCCATTTAGTACCTAGAAAAGAACACCAAAACAGAAGTGAAGAATCTTAACACCTTGCACACACAGTAGTGTAGCAACGGGTACATGAGTTGGAGCAATGCATAGACTGAATAATAAAAAAAAAGTCACTAAAGGTAGCTAGGAAGTGCTGTTAGCTAATGACTCGTCAAAAAACAGTAACACAAGCTACTCTGAACTCCTGCCAAACTCGCTAAAATGTAAAGTAAATTGGGTGAAAATCAGGTTTTTTTTCTTCCGCCTGAAGAATAAAGTGAGAGGGAGACATCTGTCTACCACAGAAGCATCTGCTTTTCCTTAAGGGCAATCAGTAGCCATGCTTGAAACTGCAAAGATTGTTGCTATGAAGGACCTAAGCATCTAGTTGCAGCGGAGTGTCCATTGCTACTTCCCCACCCAGCTCTGAGCTCAATCTCATTGAGAGAGTGTCACATCACTTTATCTGTTCTAAATATATATTGTATATACACTAAATAGATAATATATCCTGCCCTAAATATGTATGCACAGCAGCTGTTTCATACTGGGATATTAGATATATACAGGAAAAATGGAGAAACACTTCCTTATGATTTGCACTTGCTTATTCTCAGAAGTGCTGTCTCCATTTGGGCATGAAGCAAGATTTTTAGGTGAAATAATGTTTCTCCACTTGTAATTGAAAAAGAAAAAAAAAAAAAAAAAAGTTGCTCTTCACCTGGCATAGGTCAGCTAGTAGCTGCTGCCATCACTAGATTTTACCCCAAATAATATTTGTGCCTCCCTCCTTTTCTACTAAGGGATCTTTTGCTAGATACATTTCCAACAAAGCAACTGGTATTTCTGAACAGGCAGTAAACTGGCAGACACTTTTGCTAGATACATTTCCAACAAAGCAATTGATATTTCTAAACATGCAGTAAGCTGGCATTGTGAACACCGTCACTGGGTCAGCTCAAGAAGAGTGCAGCTGACCTGGTTTGAATCCCAGTGGTGTCACACACACAGTGGTACTGCAGCGGGGCGCTGCCCGCGGCAGAGGCGCTGCTCACCGTGAACTGCCCGGCGGCGGTGGCGATGTAGATGGTGTACTGCTTCTCGCTGGCCGTGTCCAGGTTCATCTGGTTCGATTCTCCTTTGCTTCGAAGCTCCTCCAAGGCCAGCCTCACAGCGAGGTACTTGGACAAGTGATCCACAGTGGCATTGCCTGAGGTCTTTATGTATCTGCAACAACAAGCACAAAGGTAACCAAAGACAGCTGAGTTGCGGGTGAAGGAAAGGGATTTGGAACACACTGCCTCCCAGATACTAACCATCAACTGTGAAAAGGCCTGTAAAGAAAGTTCACAGGAGCAGCACTAGGTGTTTTAACTCAAAATGTGCAACAAGTTATCAAATTATGCTGTTCCAAAGAGTCTTTCCATCTTCCCAACACTTCTGCCACAGGCCCTTGTGCTATTTGTAGAGAAAAGATAGCACTGTCCTGTCACCTGCTTGGAATGAGAAAACTAATAACAGGTTGTCAAGAGTTTTTGAGAAGTACTCGCAGCTGCTCAAATCTTCTGAGCAGAGATACAATCTGACGTTCCTGGACGGAAAGTCACAGTGGGGAGAGCTACACATGCCACACGATCCCCGTGCCTGCTCCTTGCTGTAGTTAATCTCTTCTTTCCCCAATTCATTACACAAGAATTGGGGAGTCTGACACACAAATGCATGCTGGAGGCCTCTCCCAGAGGCTTTGTCTTTGGCCTTGAAAACAAGCCAGAATTCCCTCACAATTCCCAGCCAAGAAAAGCTGGTTGAGGCTTATAATATATTTATAGGCACTACAGAGAGATGTCTCCTCAGGAAAGAAAGTCAGAAAGAGATCTGAGGAAACTCCTCATGACTGCTCCTTGCTGCAATCCATTACTTGCAGTCTGTGCTTGAATTCGATCATGAAAACAAACGCCAGGTAAAGCTTCAGCCTGCAAACCACGCTGACACAGAGCTGCTCCAAAAGGTGCTCAGGAAAATATGCAAGCTTTATTTATGCCCACAGGATCTTACAGCAAGTAGAAGGGTCTTATAACGTATCATCTTCCTCGTAGCTACCCAGAACCATGATGCGGGAAAACCTTAGAAACATCTCGATCTGTGATCAAAGGCTTAAAACAGACGGTTATTGTTACATTATTTTTTATAGCACTGGAGCAATACCATCCACCTGAACTGAAACTGATCGTAACAAATTGATTTCAAAAGCCCTCAGAAGTGACAGATAGAAAAGAGGAGTGACAGCAGAAAATTACAGCATAATCCATGCAGAGAAACAAAAGTCATTTACCGCGTCTGTGCACTATCGTCGTTCTCCATGAGGGTAGGATGAGGCCTGAAGACCAGTTCTATTTCACTAGCACCATCCATTACAGGATCTATTGCCACAGTTGTGTTGTTATTGTCCAGTTCTAGCCCAGAATCATCTGATGTTTTGGTCCTCTTATTGCTCGGCCCTGCCTCCTGATTGCTGTGCGTCGAGGCATTGCTGCAGTGCGAACTGTCACCGTTATCCTCTGCGCCGCTGCCATTCTCAATCTGTTGTTTCTTGCCCCTCTGCAACCTGATCAGATATAGGTAGAAACAAGTGTCAACTCAAGTTCTGGCATTATGTGCTTTTATTTGCATGAAATAATATTTAGGAACAGGATTCATTGCATCTATTACCAAAGACATGTTACCTATGTTTTGGTAATGCTAAAACTGAAATCTGCTGTCTACATGTGGCTGCAACAGAGCTGCCAGAATGCAATATGCAGGTTTCTATTGTTAGACACGGGTTAAAAATTACTTCAGCACCGTTTGGAGGAGCAAAGAGAAGCCCCTGAATATTCTGGAGATGTGGCACACTTCCAACGTGGTACGTCTGAGAAGGTTACAAGAAGGCACACGAGATAGGTTGCATACCTGTTCATAGCCTGAATCTTTAGTCCTTCCTCGATGCTGTGACTTAAAGCTTGCTGGTTATTGTGTTTGCTGATTCTTGCCAGCACTCGCTCCTGATGAGCTTCGTATTCATCACGGCTTGGGTAAATCTTACTGATGAGAGCATCAAAGTTGGGATCTGGTCTCAGGGATCTCTTTGAAACCAGCTTTTTACGACACGTGGGACATTCTTTGTTGCTAGGTATGAGCAAGAAGAGAGAAAACACATAACTCTAGCAATTACCAAAGTCAGCCCTAACACTACAGCCCTCGGACAGAGCAATCACCATGACTTGATACCTGGAGTACATCTAGAATGGGGCTTTCAGCTCTTGGCTGATCAGGGAGATCAAGATATTTCTTCAGTGGGGAGGAGGTCTCAGTACCTTAAACCTCATTAGGGGCTTTATGGTTGGTCATATCCCTCTAATGACAAGACTACTGACAGTGTGTGTGACCTCTGAGCACAGGTAATCATGCACAGGTGCCATCATGAGAAAGACACTTACATCGCTGATCTAATTACTGCCAGTTATTTCATAGTTTTACTGCCTTCAGGAAAATATATTCTTGTAATTGAAGAACACAAGAAAAATGATTTGAGCTTTAGTTAAGCCATGAAGCAGGACTGCTGCTGAAAGGTCCCACCTCGTTTACTATGCCCAAGTGAACTGTGCTCTGTTCTTGACAAAAACGTTCTTGTAACAGGGAAAGAAAAAATGAGGGAAATCAAAAATGTTACTGACAAAAAATGAGCCTCTTTTACCTGGAAGGACCGAGATGTGACTAGGGGTCCTACGCACGCACAAACTCGCGGTGCGCTGGCGCCTAGCGCTTACACAGCAACACCCAGGGCTCGAGGGCTTCCTTGATCGCTTCTACATCCCATGGGAAACCCCTTCCCTCTGTCAGGACGTTCACGTACCCGCTCCTGAGGGCTGTAATGATGCAGTCGGCGCAGAAGCGGTGCAAACATTCTTTTGTTGTCATTGTGTTTTTCAACATGTCCAAGCAAATGGGGCACATCAGCTCACTGTGCAGGCTCCTGGGTGACACCACTATTTCCAAGCCATCAGTTATTGCTTCCTAGTGCAAAAATCAAAAGGTCTTTCATGAAACTCTAATTTTCTCTCCAAGACTGCACTTTTTGCTACTCTTTTTAAAAGAAACATGGTACTGAGACAAAACAAGACACATGCACAGCCTCCTCGAGCACACACATAGATTTTTCAGAATTTTTTACCTGTGGTGTTCTTTGCAATTCATATAAACTAAGCTCCCAAGTTTTGCTTAAAGGTTGCGTCCCATTTGTCTGCACGGCTTGAGACATGGCTGGGGACAAAAAGAGACAGAAGTTACAACCTACCTCTTAATAAAATGGACAACCAAAATGGCCACACACACTCACGCAGAACCTTTAACTAAACACATTTCCTAGAAGCACTTTTTTCCCCCTCTTTTTTTTTTCCCCCCCCCCTTGAAAGTACAGCACTAGGGTTTTCCAATCACAAGTTCAGAGAATCCTAAAAGATAACATAAAAGAGAGCCCAGTTTTCCTAAGCAGTTCCCCACTGGGCTCCATCTCCTCTCTGGGTACTCTCCATGAGTAACGCTCTGCGCCCGCTCCAGGGATGGCGATAGGACAGGAACCTCCCTCAAATCAATCATTATGGCCATATGGAAGGAGATGCAATCAATGCCTTGCGTTTAATAGCATATAATTAGGCAACTATGCTGACATCTGGAAATGCAATTTGCTGAAATCTCCAAATTCAAAGATATTTTGGAAATGAAACATGGATGCCACAACAACCAGTGTTACATGGAAGCTTTACTATCAGTTTGCATCCCCTTAGGCTCTTTTTTTTAAATACATGTCTTAAAGGAAAACATCCTTATGCTCTTGTTTTTTTCAGCTAAAAAGCAGATTTAGTTCTAATAGCATCTTACTTAAATTTTCAGACTTTTTCCACTTTGCAAATGAAGAAGACAGGATTCTTTCTTCAAAGTTCACACATACTGGCATTGGGAATAAAGTTAAGACAGATGCACGCTGTGAGTCTTTTTTTCATCAATAGATTTTGAGGAAACTCCTAACACACCATTTACCATTACTGCTTTTGTTTTTTGGAAACCTTTATCACTTTTCTGTACTCTCTCTACATAAAAGGCAGCCAGTCCTATGACAGTATGGAACTTTTTTAGACTCTGTTTTTAAAAGCAAGAGCGCACATAACCTCATGGAAAGTCTGAACTGGAGGGCGTACATAGGGGGAAAGCCACGTCTGTGCAGGCGGATCAAACCTCTTCCTGTCAGAGCCACTGCCAAGCACCACTCGTACGAGTAACGCTGCAGCCAGAGGGGCACCAGCGGCAGTCACTGGAACATACACGTTGCAAGGACACCTGCAATCCACACCAATGGACAAGACTGGATATTCTTTATAGATTAATACAATAACATTTTCTCATCCGTTGACTCTGCTCCCTAAGCAACTTCCACAGAACAGACACATCAACAAAACCTCCCCATTTTATAACAGGGAAGAGAAGCAACACAAGCTAATGGCAACTGAAGTGTCATTTGTCTGGTCACTTCATACCTTTTACAGAGAATAACTGGAAAAGGAGACCAGGAGACAGCTAATGATTTTCATGCTCTAAAAATCATGAATTTTTGGCTACCCAGGATGTTTCTCAAGAGCTCTTTGCTTTGCCAAAGCGTAATTTGGAAGACAGGCGGGGGGGAGAGAGGGAGAGAGACAGGGAGAGAAGGTAAAACAAACTTCGCTATTCTTAAAATTTCAGAAATAGTTTTGACTTTTTTTTTTTTTTTTTTTTTTTTTTTTTTTTTTTTTTTTTTTTTTTTTTTTACCCTCTAACTA